AATACTACCGAAGGCAACTATTCCTGTTAGAAAAATAAAACTGTCTTAGCTGAAGATGACTCCTACCCTGCCAAAATTTATGTTTGTGTTCCCTAATCTTACTGTTCTCACTGTTAAGTATGGAAATATATGATGCACCAACACTATCAATTTCCTTAAACAAATCAATCAGATTCCTTATTACCCCTCTTTTTCCAAGAAAATACAATTTGAGAGATTTCAACCTCTTCTCGTATGACAATCCCTCCATCACAGGCACCGTTCTAGTAACTCTCCTCTGAACTCTTTCCAACAATTCAATGTCCTTCCTAAGGTAAGGAGCCCAAGACTAAACACAATATTCCAAATGTGATCTAACCAATAACCTGTATAATGAAGTTATAACCTCTTTAGACTTATATTCAATATTTCTGTAGATACAACCTAAAATCCTATTTGTCCTACCACTAGCAACAACACACTTCTTGGATGGCTTTACAGACTCATCAACTATTACACCAAAATCCCTTTCTTTCATGACACTGTTAAAGTTATTCCCATCCAAATTATACTTATAATTCAAATTATGATAACCCACGTGCATCATGTTGCATTTATTATAATTAAAACCCATTTACCATTTATTTGCCCAACTCACCAAATAATCTAAATCCTTTTGTAAATCAGCAGCATCCTCTTCACAGCTAGCAACATCAAAGACCTTAATATCATCTGCAAATTTATGTAATTTATTGACCATTCCTTCATCTATGTCATTGATGTAAATCTCAGGCCGATTACAAAGCTACACAACCAACTCTAATTATAACGCTAATGATCTGAATTCAAACTGCAATATAAATTTTCTATATGTACAATTACACAACCAAGTGTAGAAGGAATATATAAATATTTTAAATCAAACTGGATGGTCAGCTATGGTAAACAGAATTTGTACAAAAAAGCCATAATGTTATATTAACCATCAGGCAGAAACAGAAAATAAATTCTCGTACATATTCCACAAACATCTTTGTTAGAAGTCCCAGAAGTAAGCACTGGAGTCTATAGTCTTTCTAAATGAGGCTCAGCTCTGCTCGACAGTTTGGTGCCATATTAGAACTAGCACTTGTATTTTGTGTTCATTTCAAGATGCACACAATTTACATAAATTTAGTTTATTTTGAATGAATAGTACTTGTCTGGGAAAACATCAGATTAAAAGGACAATGTCCTTGAAAGAATTAAACACCTTGTTGTAGAAAGTTAAGCATCTACAGTTATTAGTGCATAAATGTAGAAGATACACAATATAGTAGTAGCAATGTTAATATTAACTCAGCAGGAAATATAATATTAAATCACTAGATTTCCTTTAACCCTTCCATTATGGGTTGGGTGGGATCCACCCAACTCGTGACCATGAGAGTAATTATATTATGATATTTGATAATAAAAGTATCTTTACAAACTTTTGCAGATTATCAGTAAATGTTACAAGGCTTTCATATGCAAAATATCAAATTTCTTTATTAAGTTTTAAGATTTTTTTAAGAAATGTTTTTACCATGCCTTTTTCTCTTTTCAAATGTTGACTATCCAACAAGCAAAGTAATTTTGATTTTAAGGTTAAAAATACTTTTATGCGTCAGGACATTTTCAAATGTTTTTTTAGAAAAAACTTTATATTTTATCTGTTATCTTCATTACTGTATCTCTGTACAGGATGGATTGATTTGACCGACCTCGTAACCACCATACAAAACTTGGAAATAAATATAAACTTAAACTGGTCCCAGGATTCTAAGAGAAAAATACATAAATATTCCTATCAGAGAGAAGACCTATAATTATAGGCTCATTAGTCTTACATTAGTTGTGGGAAAAGTTTTGGAAAGTCTGATAAAAGATGCTTTGCAAAGCCATTTAACGAAGTTTAAAATTTTGTTGGATAGTCAACATGGCTTCACTAAGGGAATATCTTGCCTTACAAATATTTTGACATTCTTTGAAAAGGTTACTGTTTATGTATATTAGGATAAGGGTGTAGATTTGGTGTATCTGTATTTTCAGAAAGCATTTGACAAGGTGCCACATAAAGGACTTGTAAAAACAATAATCTCTATAGGTGTGAGAGATAAGTTAGCAAATTTGATAGAAGAGTGGCTGTACGGAAGAAAGCAGAGGGTTGTTACAAATTGGGTTCAGTCAAACTGGATTAATGGTACAAGTAAGGTACCTCAGGGCTCAATCTTAGGACCTTTGCTCTGTTTAAAGTATTGACTTAAGCTTATAAAAGTGGAAAGTAATTTGTACCCTAAAGCATGTTATGATAGAGTTAAATGTTTAGATGTTTTCATATATGGATTTGGAAACACAACAGATTGGAAATTAAGGACTTTTTCTAAAAGGATTTAACTCTTTCAAAAAGGGGTCCTTTAAATGCTTTACTGCACAAGTCAGTGTGTTAGCTTTAAGATTTAATCAAACTCCTATAATATCAATGTATGTGAATGAATTTAATAATATAACGTGTTACAATTTGAAGTTTTATTTTATCCAAGTTTTAAGTCCTTAATTACAAAATAAACCTTTAAAAAACTACTTTTACTCTCTGTATTTTCAAATAATAGCCACTAAGATGCTTACATAACCTTTTGACTCGTTCCTTTCAAAGTACTCTAAATGAATACAATTAAAACAAGTAATAGATATTTTCAACCCTTGACAACTGAAACACCCACCTTTAATAGATTTGTTTTTATCCCTTTCATGTAGAAGTTACATAAACATGTATATATCAATTAAAAAGAGCTCATTTTACAGCATTAACTAACAACGGTTATTTTGAAATTCACACCAAACCGTCATCAAAGAGTACATGAAATTGACTATAGTGTTGTTGGCTACTTGACTGACTAAAGCATTTATGGTTGTTTCTTACCTAAATATATCATAGAGACAGTGTATATTGTATTTAGATCATACTATTATATTTTAGTTAACTATGTATCAGTTATGTTTTAAAATTCATAATTAAAGGGTTTAAACATTTTTTTAAATATACATCATACTTTGTGTCCATTCTCAAGGTTTACAATATTACTTGCTGAACAAAAATTTTGCTGAAAGGTTTTTTCACCTCTACCCAAACAACTGTAATATGCCTTGAGGGTACTGTTGCCTTGTGTTGAGATGAATATGTTGTAAAAGACAAGAAATGAAAATAAAACATTAAAAGTTTACTATACATGAAAAGGATGAAATAATGAATTTAACAAAAGGAAACTCTTTAAAGATATTCTACCAAAAAATTAAAGGTATGTTTTATATTTCCATTTCCTAATTATAATTAATTTGTTGCAGTGTAGTTGATAACAGCTAGTGTTAGTGAGATGGTAGAGAAAGTGAAAAACATGTAAGGATATACATAGAGAGAGAGATTAAATTGAACCCTTATAACTCATTAATAGAAACTCAAAACAAAAACACTGAATAATTTAAGTACACTTACTGCTAAAATATTAAGAATGAAGCAAAAATGCATGAGAATATGACTAAAAAAGTCCTTTAACTAAATATTGAAGAAATGTTAAGCTATTTTGATGTAATAGGCCAGCAACCTAAATCATCTTAATTAGTTTTAATTACTTAATTAATTGCATGATAAACAAATACCTCTGCTAATTTTACTGGAACAAATTCTCCCAAGACCTCTTTGAGAAAAGCTTGTTTTGATATCAGTCCATGCAAGTTTGATGCACGTTTAAAAGCTGCTTTGAGTCGTTTCAGTTCTGCTTCATTTACTACAACAAAAAAGTACATTAACAATAAAAGACTATCACTTAAGATAAAAATTCTACACTCATACTTCCTTCTCTCCCTTGAACTAAAGTACTCCCTTCCTGTAAATATATAATGCAAAATATGTTAATAGTTGTTTAGTGACCTTCAAACTATTATATTTACATGTATCAAAAGAAACCAGTTGTCAGTAGGTAATACAAAACAAATCCAGGTCCCAGTTTCATTAAACTTCTTTGATTCTTTTCTAGGTCAATATTTAAAATGAAACTTAAATAATTTTTTGTGATATTGTGCTCTGTATATGTATCATGCAAAATAAATTCATAACTATCTAGCTGCCTTGAGATAATACTTATAAGTACATGCATCACAAAAACTAAGTTGTCACTGTATGTCCTGATAAACAATTACACAAAAACCTATTTAGATCATTCATAAAATAATACATAAGATGAAATTTATGAATTTCACAAGATATTTCATAAGTTGTTTTACAAAACTATTTCAGGAATGTCTTGGATTTGGTTTGTTTGTTTAGAATTTCGCACAAAGCTACACGAGTGCTATCTGCACTAGCTATCCCTATTTAGCAGTGAAAGACTAAAGGGAAGGCAGCTAGTCATCACCACCCACCACCAACCCTTAGGCTACTCTTTTACAAACGAACAGTGGGATTAACCGTCACATATGACGCCACCATGGCTGAAAGTGCGAGCTTGTTTGGTGGGACGGGGATTCGAACCCGTGACCCTACCTAGCCATAATACTTAACAGCTAAAGGTAGCTTCCAACATTCACCTAATACACTTGTAACACTTTGAGACCCCTAAATAATACTTTCTTGGGGATTTGGGGCAGTGCATCTTCACTATAATGAGAAACCTCAGAAAGCTTTTTTTTTTCACTTGACAGAGCATTAAATATGTTACAGTTAGTATAACATCACGAGTGCTGAAACATGTGGCAGAATGTATAGTATTAAAAACTGAGCAATGGAAAACATAAGTATAACATGAACAGTTCTTAAATACGAGTGTGCACTGCAAGCTGTCCAAAGTTTACGACCATTCAAATGTTGTTCAGTTGAAGACAATTCCTAGCTAGTTAATTATATCTGTCTCACAATGTTATGATAGAACATTTAGGTAAACAAGCTGAAAAGACAACTAGTATTGTAAGAACATTTGATAGGAAAATAAATGGATTTTCATAAGAAAAATACTTTACAACATTTGAGAAAATGGTAACTCCAACTTTATAGTATGGTTCAAAGTATGGGGGTTTACTGATTACGTATCAATAGAAAAAGTACAAAATACATTTTGTAAGTATTATTTAGGGGAAAAAAAAGTCTGCTTAACTTAGTCAAAGTAAGATATAAGGAAATCCTACATTAACCTGTGGATATGACAAAGCCATAACTAGCTTGGTGATTAAAGTTGCCACTCTGAATGAATAAAAAACAATATTGACATAAGGTAATATGAAATAACTACACTAAATAACTGTATGGGTTTAAAAGTCTATTCTTTGAATTAGAAAATGTCCCATCATGTAGTTAAATGACTATCAATGGAACATTTTTAAGCTTTATAATACACCTTATGTACTCAAAAGAAGAAAAGTACTTTAAATCTTAACATGAAAATCACTTTACAAATGGACTATTCAAACAAATACTCGATATATTCAAGGAAAAATCTATTTTAATTTATTAAAAATACTTCACTAAAAATATGATTTTTTGCATGTGTAAGACTTTTAATGTTTACTGAAAGACTGCCAAATTTCATGAAGATAAACAGACGATATTTACAGTTATTAGTATCAAATCTATAAAGACTTTGAATGAGTACAAAGAGGTCACGTGGTCAGTCAAATTGACCGAGCCACGTTCAGAGAGTTAAACTTAAATTTTATTGCCTTTTGAACTGAGTGGAACTAATTATCCTGCCACACGAGCTGTAAATTTCTCAACAAATGTGTAGCTCACGTTATCCTATCAAATTATTTAATGCACAGGCTAATCGCAAGCATACTTCATGAAAATTTTTTTACAATTATTATTTCTTCTATATTTTACATAATCTAACCTAATAAATTTATAATGTTTACATTCTAGTTACTTTTATAATACTACATAAAGAATACACACTAAAAACAAGAAATACAGTTCTTACCTAGGTCTTTTTTTTTGGTATTGACTGTCAATAATACTTAACCCTACTTTTATAATACTGATGGTACTACTGCAATAAATAATTATTTATTTAATTAAGTAATGTACCTAAAACACAGAATAATAACACGTAAAAAGCAGACAATGTCCTATAACTAAAATAATTTTTCCGGCTTCTAACTATGTGATACGAGCCATTAAAAGTTCGTATTGGAAATGAAACAGACAATTCTAAGTAAAGAAAACATGTAATATAATATGTCATGTGATACATTAAATCTTTGGCTTTCCATTGGTTAGAAACAATACAGTATTAAATGTCAGAGAGAACTATTATCAATTTGTGAAACAGAGGATGTGACAGGTGGATGTAGCAATAGGGGGTCTGAATTTCTAGATTATGGCTCTGAAACCAAATAAGATTGAAACCTATAAAAATTATGCTGTGCCTGAGTGATAATTATATTATAATGAATAATTTATGTTAAATTTTGTACTTTTGAGAGGGGTGGTAAATAAATTAGAGAAGAGAGAAGACAGAGAGTAAATGTCACAATTCTCATACTAAGAGAAATTGAAGATTTTTTAAAATACTGCATTAGAAAATTAAGAACTTAAAACTTATATAATATTAAAATTTGATTTATTAGCTATTTCTCAATGCCATGTCTATTTGCATACTGTAATAATAAAGTAATTTAAGTTCTGAATGTAACTCAGTAAAATCTTTCGACACGCTCAGAAAAGGGTATCGTCCTGTATAGAAAGAGTTGACTGTCTAATAATCATTTACATTACTTATTACTGACTTTTTAAAAATTATCATCCTAATGATACACTGAGACACTAACCTTAAATTGTGTAAATTGGCACAATTCCCTCAGGCGGTTAGAAATCTTGATCAAGACAGATCTGTTCTTAATTGCAGCATACTATTTTGTGGAAACAAAGTGTGTGTGCGTGTGTGTATTAATGCAAATATGAACAATATCATGTGCCCTATGATATTGGTGGAAAAAGCATTTGTATTCTCAGTGACTACTTTGTTGAAATATTTTATTGAATGTTAAAAATAATTCTTGTTTACTGTTTCCTACACCAAACTTAAGCTAGTTATGATTGGTGTTGACCTTGTTGGAGATGGGGGAAACACTAGCTAATTGGATTGAAGGGTGGTTGGGTGTAAAAAAAGCAAAACTTATTAATAGAGTGCAGTCAAACTAGACACTTGTTACTAGTGGAGTATTAGTGCTTTGGCTTTTACTTTTGTTTTAACAACATTGATTACACTGACAGGTATATAATTAGTAAATTAGTTAAGTTTGCTGAATACATTAATTTATAGCTATACTGAGGGTGCTGAGTTACTACAAAATGGCTCAGATCAATTGGTATGTTTGCAAATGAATTTTAATTATAGTACAGTAAGCAAAAAGCTAACCTTTTGGTTATTATTTGGGTCATGTTCCTATTTATGAAAACCTACTCAAAACTGCGATTAAGAAAATGAACCTTGGCATAGTGGTGGATATGTTACTCAAATAATCAATACAGTGTTCAGTTACTAGTAGTAAAGGTATCCCACTTTTATGGTGTACCTTAGACTTACTGATTACAGTAATCACTAGTTAGGCCTATCTCGGAAAATAGATAAGGAAACCAAAACTGTAAACAAAGAAAAGATACTGAATTACTGGAAAGGATTCAAAAGAGAACTAGTAGAATGATTCTAGAGATGGTAAGGTCATTTTATGAGAAGATCTCTTGACTTATTTTCTCTTGGGCAAATCTTATTAAAGATTGCAAGATTATTTAGGGGGTTGATACGAAAAAGCCTCTCATTTCTTTGTGCTGAATTATGAAGACAACAGAAGTGGACACAAGTTTAAGATTTGTAAAAAATGGGTTTGGTCCCAGTTAATAGCATTATTTTATAAGAGTGATAAGCCTATAGAATGAGTTGCAATTAGCAACTGTTTTTAGCTTTTGTGGGATGTTAGGCAGAAGATATTCAAGAGCCCTCCCTCTTCTGTATATGGGAAGTAAAAACAAACTCTGGAAGTGGGCAAAATTACATAGCAAGTGGTGTCTGGGGGAATGCTGCAAGATCCACCACTGGGGTCAATGGAAGGCAGACAAGGCTTTGTATGAATTTTGCACTATATTCTAGTATTGTCAGCATAATATTCTGATATAAAATATAGCACATTATAATCTTTCTCTTTTCTTTTGTTTCACTTTTTGCAATCTATTATAGCCGTACAGCTATCCATGCTTTGCAGGCACATAGCACCTAAAAATGGCGAGACCCTAGATAATTTCCTAGTTTACCTAATGTGAAATACAGCACAGAACATCAGGAACAGTGGAGGCTAGTACCTTATAAGAGTTTATTTAGGAGGAAGTGAGTCAGTGATATATTACAAATAAGTGGTTATTTTAATTTTTTAGGGTAGATGTGAAGCAGGGATAGCCTTAAAGGGCCTAATGGCCCTTTGTTGTTCATAAATTATCTTAAGTTAGTCTAGCAAACATTTGTGTTAGGTTGGATCATTTTCAACGTGGAGAGGTATATTAACCATCTCATTACATGAAGATTAAAGTACACATGGCACAACTTATTACATAGTTACATTCAAAATTTATTTAAAGTTAATACTTTCCTTACCTAAAAATGTATTTACAACAGATACTCACCACTGTACACAATTAAGTTATCTTTTTTATACATTTGCTTTAGAAATTTGCATGTCATTAGCCTTTAGGAAACTCCCACCTAATCAACATTTCTCATGAATTACACTACTGCATAATGACATT